AGCGGCCTCTCCCGGCCGGCAGTGCCCACCGACATGGTGCGCGGCCGGTGTGTCTGTGCCCTGTTGAGACCAGTAAACAGGATGAGCGGTGAAGTTGGTGGTGCGATGCCACCCTGGCCGTGGTGGTGGCACCAAAACGTGCGGGAAAGACACCTGAAGATAGATTTAAAAATATTAGAGGCACGGATAAAGAACAAAGCTGTGACCCGCACAGGAAACCTGACCGATCACCAGCAGTAATACCCGGCCGTCCTTTTCCTGCTCCACAGACCCGCTGAGGTCAGCTACTGGTTTAAATGGGAGCAAGCCCGTGCCACAGCCGTATGGCGTGCTCATCGAGAGCCCGGAGCACAACGCTTCCTACGGGACAGGCCGCCTCTAAATTACAGTGATGGACGCGTACGTGTGTACCTATAAATAGCGCACACGCATTTTATGTATGGTTTTATACATGCATAAATTTTACAAAATGTGTTTAAAATGCATAGACATAGATACACCTATATCTGTATATAAATACTATAGATATTTGTTTCTACTTGAAGAAGTTTTGTACAGTGTACTTTGGACTTTGTCAGGAATGAGTCCACAGTTTCTTACATTGCCTGAAGCTTTCCTTCAAAAACTGGTTCCGAAGGCAGGTATAGGCTCTTCTTTATAAACTCCTACATTTTCTAAGGATAAGTATTAAACGTTTCTATTAAGCATTTGCTTTGCTAACTGAAATGAATACTCTGTTTTGGGGTTGGTTTCAATTTTTTTTTCAATGAGCGTGCTTTCTTAATTTACCAGCTCTCGCTAACTAGCAAAAGTTGGATGATTTTTGTTCTTAACAGAGTAATTCCCTCCTGCTCCCTGACACCGAATGTACCTGAGATAATAATCTTCATACGAATTAAAATGTATAACTTTGTCTACTTCTTGTGCATTTATCTTTCCATTTCCTAAAAATGCAAGTATTATTTATGCTTAAATACATTTTAGAAGTCCATTTGTATAAATATGGTCATAACAATAAAAAATATTTTCCAGAATAAGAAACTTTGTACATATGTGCAAACAATGCTTGCATAACCAGTTTATTACTGAGTATGTTGCATCCAGGCAACCTTTCTCATGCCTGGACAGCACATCCAAATTATTGCTGTATTCTGATGGCTCAAAGAACACAGGGAAAATAAATAGAAGAGTGAAGTCCATGATGATAGATACTTAGCAAATTATGACTAACTGGGGACTGCAAAATAAAATCACTTGAAAAAAAAAAAGCCTTCCAGGTAAGTTAGCTCCTTCTTGCCATGCAAAGACTGTATAATTTGCTTGCAATGAGACACAGAAATTGTTCCTGCCTTCCCTGTACATTTTTGCTTAAAAAATCCTTCTGCTCAAGGAAAGAGCATTATTCTTAGACACCAACACAATGAAGCAAAGGGAAGATGTCATGTCATGCATTCAAATGAAAACTGAAGGACCTCAGGGGTCAGCATAAAAACCCCACAGTACAACGCTTGCTCCCTCACCCCTTGCCAGCGTTTTTCTCAGCCCTCTCACCCTGTGGGTTGGGTGTTAGTCCTCAGAAGCTGCACAGCGAGTCCCACTCATGGGCGACTGAAAGAAGGGGACTTTTATCTTTCCACATCCCACATAAGCCCACTGTGTTGCCAGTTGGTACATAATTGATGAACTCTATTTTGGGCTGGATTCATCAGCTGGGTCTAGCTATTTTGACCTGTGGACAAGACTATTTTCTATCAGCTACAAATCATCACATCCCTTAGGCAAGTGATCCAACACGGACAGACAGCCCCCCGTGCTGATGTCACCACCACATCATGGCTGAGAATGTAAATGCTGAAGCAAGGACAGTCAATGTACAACTGCTGCAGAAAGCACGACTTGGCCACACTGCTCAGATAGCTCAGCTTAAAGCCTAACGGCATATAGAGTAGTAATTGCTATAGGCATGGAGGGAAGTCAAGGTCTGTTCCTGTATGAAACCTATCACTTCATTACCTAGCGTATTACACTGAGAGTTGCTTAACTGAAAGAAATTTGTATGAGCAGAAGGTTTGGATTTATTTGCTTAATTCTGCATCTTTATGGATGAAAAAATGTTGGCTGTTTTTGCAAGGCATGTGCCAAACAAACTGAAATCAATGGAGCTGCTCCAGGGGTGAATTTGGATCACTGCGTGTTGGACTTTCAAAGAAAAACTGCAGAAATCACAAGACTGCTTGAGGCAGAGACCTCATGCGAGTCATATGAACTGTTATTACAGACCGAGGGATAAGGCGGAGCAAAGGAGAAAAAAAGAGATGTGTTTTAACTGAAACAGGACAACATGGGAGACATGCTGTGTGTAAGTGCTGTCAGACCAGGATGCTGCAGCTGCTCTTCAGAGAGAAGGGGCTCCCAACATATCCAAGGCCTTCAGCACATGGAAGCAGCGTCGACAGCAGAGGTATTTAATATCACAGCGTGATACTTCTGCATTGAGATAGGTTAAGCCTGCATTCTTACATTTGTTGTGGGAGTGCAAAACATTCACATTTTCTTCTAACCAGACAGCATCAAACTTTGCAGCTTCAGCCTTGTGAAGCTACTGAGAGAGGACTCCATGCCTTAGATGACAATAAATGCCTCTGATGTGATGAACGGGCAGAAGATTGCACTCTAGCGAGCTCTGTGCCAATGAGGGATTCTAAAACAGGGAGGGAGCCAACAACCTACAGTTCTGGAGGAGACAGCATGCCACAGATTGCAAATCCTGTTATATTTGAGTCAGACGATAATGCAGGCACCCATCCAATGTAGCTGCTCAGGAGGAGCTTGCAGGCTGCCTGCCATTCATTACTACTATTTTTATAGTTTATGGCACTGTTATGCTCTATGGGCCAAATTAACAGGCTGTGTAAATTATACAGTGGTGAGGAAGGGGGAGGAGGTAAGGAGGAGAAGAAGATATAAATTTAAACTTCCTGAAATTTCAGTCCTGCATTTGGTTTTTAGCCCCTGCCCTAACAGATTGCTATCTAGAGACAAATAAATCAAGGGTAAGAGAAAATAACACGCATTTAGAATGATACTGGTAGAAGCGTCCTCTGCAGTTAAGGCAGTTTTATCTTTATGTGTTCCCAGAGTGAGCACTACCATTTACGCAGACAGGCACATACAGACAGTTGCTCCCCTTACAGACTGTACTGGAGATCTGTGACTGGTGGGGAGGGAGATGAAAATGATGTGAAGTGCTCAAAGCCAGCGCAGACAACAAGAAAGGAAAGAATCATATCAGTGAAATGGTGGTTTGCCAGTGATATAGTTTGCCTTCTTTTCCTGTGCCAGCTGTCGGACATAACCAGAGCACCCCTTCCTCTACCCTCGCTGCAGCCCCTGCGGCTCCACACACTCCAGAGTTGGAGGTGCAGGATGCAGAGGCCTTGGAGTTATGCTGATCCTTTGCAGGAGGAGGATGGTGTGGAGAGGTTCAAATAGGTGAGTGTGCAGCAGCCATAGAGCCAGACAGAAGGTATTTCGTCCTATGATTATTCCAGCCATGAATCAGTATTTAATTACTGAATGACATGCTAGTAGCTTCTTGTTCTACCCAACAATCTAAAATACATACCAATTTCTTCATGAAGCAGAGACAAGGCATCCCATTTGGAGCTGCCACATCCTATGTACATCTAGAGAAGCTGTGTGAAGGATCCTGTGCAACTGTGTACAAGGGAATCAGCAGGTGAGCAAGGACCACCAGTGTTGTTATTGCCTTCCCAGTGCCTGCTGAAAACACCCCTTATGGGAATCCATAAGAATGAGCTTGAAGCTGGGCAATTCAGAGTCCTTACAAGAAGATAAAGGCAAATCAAAAGCCCAGCTTTGCCTTTAGCCAGGATATTTGCAAAGCTCCATCCCAGTTTTTCAGGGAACTCCTCCGCTACAGCTTTGGAGGCTCCATAAAGACGCTATGCTCCACAGCAGCGTGCCAGGAGATTGTCTGGCTACACCAGAGAGGGAGTGAGGGTTTTCCTTGGAATGAGGGACTGCTGCATGATGGAAAAAATGGAGGTGAGGCCATGCTGCCATCACATGGGGCAGGAAAGCTGCAAGAGGGCGGAGTGGGAACACTGCCCAAAGCCGTGCTCTAGCAATACCCGGTGAGCAGAACGGTGCTACTCTAGCCAGGCAGGCTCGCTCCCATTTCACTGCTAATGAAGACAAGGTGGAGGTGGTTTGCAGCTCCTTTCTGAGCTTGGCCTGGGTGGGGGAGTTAGCCCTAGAAATTTTGCTTGGGTAAGTGTGGAGCACCCCAGAATGCTGTTAATGTTGTTGTCATGCTGAGCACTGAGGTGCTTCAGGTGACCTCCTGCTCTGACCTGACAGGATCAATGGCCAGTTGGTGGCATTGAAAGTGATCAGGCTGGAGGCAGAGGAGGGAGTGCCCTTTACAGCCATTCGGGAAGGTAAGACATAAAGAGCTTCTTCAAACATTGGTGAAAAGCAAGGGACATCATTCGTGAAGAGCATTTGTTTAAACCTGAAAAAGCTCCATGTGATGTCCTCCTAAGTACTTTCTTGCCTACTTAATGTGCCAGCTGTCCTTCTCCCAAAACTCTTGGTTTCCTTATCCCTTCATGAAGGAGGTCTTTATGCTGGGCTGGGTGAGCATGTGATGGTTGGAGGGGAAACCTGCTGGCCAGTGTTTTCCCTCGTGGCAGATGTGTCTGAGCTTGTGATAAAGAGAGTGCTGGCTGCAGCCAGAGCATGTCCTTTCTAGCGTTGTAGGGCCCTCTTACGCTTCTTGCCTGCTACCTGCTCTGTGGTTGCGCTCTCACTCCCATTTCTATACACTAGCACAGCAGTTTTTGCTGCTGTTGCGTTGGGCAGTTGTGGACTGGAAATGCCCTTGCACCAGAGTCTCTGCTTGCTGTTACCACAAACAGTGTCACTTTCCTGCGTGATGGCAGCTGATACCTGGAGCATCACAGATCCCAGCCTGAAAAGAAACGCTCTCAATAAAACTGGTGTTTAATAACTTCCATCATTTCAGCCTGGTGAGAAATTCTTTATATCGGTCAACTTTGTAGAGCACTGGGCAAAATGTCTGTAGCTTTCTCAATTTCTTTGAGAAGGAAATGCTTTTGTTTAAGTGCTTGATTTTGGCTGAATGTATTTATATGTCCCTACAGACTAAGTTCACAACTTGCCTGGTTGATTAAGGCTTCTATTTTTGTCTGCTCTACAATCCCAAGAGGATCATAATCTGGTTTCTTCCTTATACAGCAATATGCAAGCGTTGTGCCAGTCTGTTGTCTGGTATTAGTGAGAGCTATAAATGTAAGAGGTCACACATATTTTGTTTTCTACTTCTTACTGCAGTTCAAAACTAAGGCTGATTTTGTCACCACAGGGATGGAGTGTCAGGGACCTGATGTGCCAGCTTTCACAGAGCAGCCCTAGCACAGAAGGACTCTCATACCAATCAACTCAGAATAACGAGAGGCCAGTGGATCCATGCCAGGTTTATAACAGTGTAATTAAGATAAGAAAGTTTACAAAGTCCTTAGTCCAATTCTGGGTGAAAGCAGAGAGATAGCTAAATATGCCTATTTACAGAATGGCTTGTGTTACAGTTTCCTATACACTCATTTGCCTTGGTGCTTTTCCTCTGCGTTTACACTTGTAGCCCACCAGTAAAATAAGCCTTAAAAGCTTTATCTACATAGAAGTAATGATGCTCTAAAGATCAGCACCCCTTTAACATGCTCTACTGGACAGGCTGAGCACCTTAACTTCATTCATTATAGGAGAAAACAAGACTGATCCTATGGAGGGTCTACTTTAAATAGAACTTTTGTGTGCTGCTGAGCTTTGCAGCATCTGACACCTCAAATTTACAATGTAAGTCAGTAGTGCAAACAAAGCACAAGATTTATTAACGCGGTGCATTCTCTGCTGTCCTGGAGGAATGGAACTCCCCTGACAAAGAGCCATTTCACTCCAAGAAGTCCCACAGAGACAAAATGCGTTTAAAGCTCAGTTCTGGCTGCAGCACCTGACACCCCAGCAGGGGGTTGGAGAAGCAACCAAGTGTGGAGCAGTTCCCAAAGGCGTGATTCAGGCACAGGGGCTGAATTCTCCATATTACTGTGGACCCTCGTACTGCTCCCCCGGAGCAACAGCTCTAGTCATATGAGATTTTTGAGGTATCACAGAACGAGGTTAGCAGCCCCTTTCCGTAGCAGATGGGATCTAGCCAGAATATCTTTACTGGGTTCATAGACAATTAGGTGCAATGTGGACCATGTTTAAGGTTCATACTGCCATGCACCGGAAACATACTGGTGGTAGCTAAATGGACTAGCATCAGTACAAGAGGCAGTTTAGCTGGAGCAGCACCAAACTCTGTGTAAGAACTAATTTACAATTTGTGCTATTTCCAGTAGTTATGCTGAATCTGGCATCCCTTACTGCTCAGCAGTCTCAGTATTGACATACGCTTAGGCCACAGCTGTGTAATACAGTGTATCTGGCTGTAGAGCTTTTAGAACCAGGTGAAACTGTTATGGTCACAAAAGGCAAAGTGCTAATCCAGTATAAATTTGCTTTGACAGCATGAAACTCTTCAAATATCTTTTGCAAATTGTTTGAAAAACAAAAAGCAGCTTTTATCCAGGACCAAACTTCATTTGGCCTCCCAGGGCCGGCACAAGCTCTGTATTGTGTGCTTCAGCTAATTCAGCAGAAACGAGATTGTATGGTATCTGAATGAAATTTGTAGCACTGTGTGATCTGACAGTAAACTAATTTGATTTTAATCAGCAAGGAAAAATGAGTCTGGAGCAGCTCTGAGGCTATTCTGTTATATCAGAAGCTGAGCTAAAATCTGGAGTCAGGGACCCCTGTTTTTGGTGAGCTTTGGAGCTTCAATCTGTGCACAGTTTCAGTATAACAGCTGGCTTGGATTCTTCAGTAGTGACAGGGATCTACAGAGCAATCCCAGCTCCACCGCTCCCCTGCGTTCCTCCTCTGTACGGAGCTACGGCAACTATTTTCTCAAACCTACAGCAGCAAATGATGAAGCTGTGCATGCTCTTCCCCCATAAAGACTATCTTTATGACTTTCTGATGAGAAGCTGCCCTTATGAATGTGTCATAGAATCATAGAATGGTTTTTGTTGGAAGGGTCCTTCAAGATCATTTAGTTCCAACCCCACTGCCATGGGTAGCGACACCTCCCACTAGACCAGGTTGCTCAATGCCCCATCCAACCTGGATTTGAACAATTCCAGGGATGGGGCCACCACAATTTCTCTGGGCAACCTATTCCAGTGCCTCACCACCCTCATAGTGTCAGTGGAGCTTGCTCTATCATGAGAAAACTAACACAAGGCTGAAAGGCTCAGAAGGCTGTAGCTTTTGTCTTAGCATCAGTCAGTGCTCTGTGGTCTATATGGAGGTGGAGACTATTGCATGTGCTGCCCCCTCCATCATCGCACCCTAGATGTGTTGAGGCTTGGCAAAGGCATGTCAGCACCGAAGGACCAGGGCCATACAGTTGCACTGATGCTTTTCGATGGTTAGGCTGAAAAAAAAGTGCTTAGCATCTACAGTGATTTCTTTTGGCAGATTTTTACACCGTGATGTTGTTAAACTGGAAGCTGATAGAAACTTAGCTTTCCCCAGAAGTCTCCTAAGGGCCTTGCTGAGGGCATGTGCCAGGAGGTGGATGGGAGAAGGATGGAAAGCTCAGCAACAGGCCAGGGGCTGTTGCATTCTGGCTCTGGGAGCTCCTGCCTCTTGGCATTTGCCTTGAAGAAATTATTTCTCCTCAGCTGGGAAGCTGACAGCTGGGAACTGTGAACTCCTATTTCTGACAGAGGCAAGATTCTACCTCTGAGAGATGGACGGGTTCCTGCCAAGCCTGGAGCACTGATGTTTGCTTCTCTAAGGAGCTATTCCATCCTCCTTCAGATGCAGTAGCTGCTGCTTCTTACACAACTGCCAAGTTTGGACTATATCTCCCCAGTTTTTTATTTTCACTGCCTTGCTGTATGCACTGTTTCCTTCTTCCAGCAGCAGCAGCAAAGTTGATCGTCCTTTTGTTTCTCCAGCTTCTCTTCTCAAGCATTTGAAACATGCCAACATTGTACTGCTTCATGACATTATCCAGACCAAAGAGACACTAACATTTGTCTTTGAGTACATGGTGAGTTGATCTTTTTCTAGCTTCCTGTAGAGCTAGTACTGGGAAGTACTGGGAAGTGGCTGCATAATGAATTTGCTGCATTATGAGACATCTGCAAAGAAACAAGTTGTAATCCTTTCGTGCAATGATTGATTTTCCTTCTTGATCTCCTGCTTTCTAGCCATACAGCCTTAGTCTTTTCTTTCTGTCTATGCAACAGCTGTATGCAAAAATGATTCCACATCTTTTCTCCACTATTTACCTCCATTTCTGCCTTGACAACGCAATAAAAGTACTGTTCTTGAGCCACAGCAAGGATGGGAAAAAATGATATGAGCTCACATCGCAGCTGGGGTCAGATTTGGCACTGACCCCAGTGGCTCACCATGACCATACTGTGGGTTGCTCTCATAGGGCAGGCAGGATGCCAATAAAAAGTTCTCAGCATGAGTCTTGCTACTTCTGTTGCTTTTGCTGATAGCTATCAACAAAATTATAAGGAAGACACAGGTGCTTTGTTTTCTTACGGCAGCTTTGTGATTAATTCTGGCACAAGTATGAATTCTGTTAACTCTCAGCTTCAGGTCATAAACTGCTAAGGTGACATAACAGGTCAGCCAGGTCCCTGATTTGACCAAGCACTTCAGCACATCCTTGTGTGCTGCATCAGATCAGATGTTTGCCAAGGGGAAAGAGACATCTTTGTAGTGGTTGCATATTTCTTCCATTTACAGAAAAGGCGTTGTTGGTAGGAGCATTTCACGCTAGTAGCTTTGCCTCAAGTCCTCCTCTTTTGTTTAGCACACAGATCTAGCTCAGTACCTGGATCAGCATCCTGGAGGACTTCATTCGTGCAATGTTATGGTGAGTTGCTTAGAAGCCTACTATCCCTTAAAGCATGACAAGTGTTATTTTCCACTGTGTATGATCACTGTAAATTGCTTACTAATATTTACTTGTCCCATATGTGACAAACACTTTGGAGAAAAGCTGCCCTTGATAAAGTTGTAACAACCTCCCTTTGAGTCTGCAAAGCCTTTTTTCGGTTAGTCCCTCTTCCCATTTTCTGAGCCTGCAAAAGGACATGCAATTTTTGTGCACAATGACATCTTGTGGCAAGCAAATCCATCTCTACACAAATTTGTATCCTCTTATCATCAGAATACGTTATTCATCTCTCTAATTAAAGACTCTCAAATCTCACTCTTTCCTCATCTGGAACTAGCTTCATATTTACAGCACTTAAATCCCTTTTGTTGCTACTACAGCTTCTTGGGATTGGTTGGCTGCAACTGAGCACAGCTGAAGACGTACCCTTAGTTGATAGATTGATGTTATAATAGTGTCCTACTCCCCTTTGTATGCATCTTCACATTTAATTAACGTTCAGGATTGTTGCTGCACACTGACTTAAGGTTTCAACGCAGATGTCCTCAGTGAATGCCTGGGTCCTTTCTCTGAGCAGCTTCAGTTAATTTATCTTACAGCTGTCAACAATAACTTTGTATCTTATCAAACTGCCTATTCATCTGAGTCTGTCAGATCCCTCTGAAGTTCCTCACTGTCACTTCTTATCACAGCTAATCTAAATACTTCTGTCATCTTCAAATGTTGCCACCTTGTTCACATCTTCTTCCAGATAGTTGTTAAGCAACACCAATTCTAATGAAGTTTCTTGGGGGCCCAGATTTTAAACATCCTTAAAGCTCAGATATGTCCAAGATGCAGTGTTGTAGTTTTGGCGCAGATCTCAAGGGCTCTGCTACCAGGCAGGCTTGTAAAGCACATGGAGTACATGGCTGTAACATGTACTCACTGGCATTTCTGTGAGTAAACGCTAGCCAGCTGCTCTGCTTTCCTGTCCGAAATCCTCATAAAAGGAACTGAACTGCACAATGATTTACTGCTCCTTTAGGAGGGTCATCTAGCTTGCTTCATTTTTGCTGGCAAATGTTGTTTGTTTTGTCTCTGAGTGACTCCTATCAAATATGATGCATGTATGCAGAATATTACAGGGACACTTTTCTAGTACAAAAATTACCTATGGGTGTCACTGTTTTTCCTCCTCTTCAGATTAAGAATCTGGTGAAAAATATCTTTTGTCTAGTGAAGTCTAATTACTTTTGCTGTGTTTTGTTTCTATACACTGTCCAATTTCATACCTTGTTTCAGCCCAACTTATTTTACTTCAGGCTTATTTACACTGCCACGGTGGTGGATGTTAGATATTTCTTTCTTGCTAGCTTTTCTGCTTGCTTGCTTGCTTCGTTCATCATATCTTATTTGCTATATCTGTTCAAATCAGGTCCTTGTGTTTTTTCCCAGCCTGAAGATGACAGTCCACATTGTCAAGTAAGTCAGTTCACTGGCCCATTTCATACTGGGAAGAGGTGGTGTGTACAGCGGCCGCAGAACTCCCTCTGCTGGTGTCAGCTGGCTCAAATGGTCAAAACTTCCAGCTTCTTAAACCTTCATTTTGCTTGGCTGTATGTCTGTGTCTTGAACACTGAAATCAGAATATCTGCTGTTCTGAAATGCAGGTCTGTGTTTTGGCAAGTTGCGCTTGCTCCTGCAATCAATAGTCCATTTCTAAAGAAAAGTTAAATTTCCAAAATGTGTACTTAGGGACTGCACTATAACTGCCCTCCTAGCCAAATATTCCAACCTGGAAACCTCAGAAAGCTGAAGGGCAGTCGTACCCTACCGCAGTTTTCTCTTCCTCAGCCAGCTCTACTCATTTGGGGGATTTTTACTGGTTTCTTACTTGCTTTGTCTCTGCTTTGTTCCACGAGTTCTCCTGAAGGTCAGAGTTAATGTGTCAATGCAAAGTCACACAAAATCATTTCAGCTTTTTTGTTGGCTTTTTCTAGCTGTTCATGTTCCAGCTTTTGCGTGGCCTGGCTTACATCCACCAACAACACATTCTTCACCGTGATCTGAAACCCCAGAACTTGCTCATCAGTTGCCTTGGTGAGCTCAAATTAGCTGACTTTGGTGAGTCACGGTTTGGATACTGCTAATATATCTGGTCAGACCGAAGCTTTAGCATGTATATAGATCTGTATCCACAGCCAATTAATGCATAAAAGCAAAACCTCTTACTGAACTTCAGGAAACTATTTCTGTGGTCAGTACAGCCTTTCTTGCCTTTATACTGATAGGTGCAGGGAGTAACCTCATTTGAGTCAAAGCAATTACTGTCACATAAAACTGGTTCAAGAGAATTGAGAATCAACCCCTCTCTCTTCAGAAAATAATGTAATGTGTTGAGTGCACAGCAATATGCTGAACCAAAAGGCTTTCTTGGCATTGCTTTGGGATGGCTGCTTCAGTCACAAACGGTAAAGCCCTACAAAACACAGCACATTGCTTGATCTCATCTGTCCATGGGGTATATTCCAGACATACTTTCTTTGCCAGTTGCTTGTAAAATGCATTGGGATTGCTTGTGTTTAAAGACCCAAGAGAAAATAATGTCTTGTTTCTAGTTATTATCATCTATGCCTTGTACAGGTAGAAGGACTGTACTGACACAGCAGTCTTCTTCTTTTTTCCTTTTTCCTTTTTTTTTTTTTGGTAGGCCTTGCTCGTGCCAAGTCCATCCCCAGACAGACATACTCCTCTGAAGTGGTGACACTCTGGTACCGTCCTCCTGATGCATTGCTTGGAGCTACAGATTATTCTTCTGATCTAGATATCTGGTACTGACTACTTTCAAACCATCTGGGGTCCCTTGGGAAAAATCATCTTTATCTGAATTAAATTAAGTCAACCAAGTTACAGCAGATACAGTTGTAAGTAGAGGAATTAACAGCTGTGAGCAGAAAATGTGTGAGCAGTGGGGAGTTTTGTACTGCTGGGTTCACAGAAATTTTTGGGAATGATGTCACTACATCTCAGCTATGGATTTATATAAACCTCATCTGATAATATTTATAAGATACGTACGTCTCATTTGGTAACATTTATGAAGCATTTTCAGGTCTTGCAACAGAACACCTTTGCTTAATGCACTTATTATTTTTTATCTATGTGGTTGGCTGAGTCAGTGGTAGCTCTCAATAGCAATGGCTTTGTGAAGAAACAATGGATCCAATCACAACTGCACCAAAAATGACTTTGGCCTTGATAACAAAAGGTAGCACTAAAGGGTTTCTGAATGGATCTGGAGATAGAAAGGAGACTCATTATTTCTGTGATACTTCGTCCTTCTTCTCAAAGAACATGTCTCAGATGCACTCTGTATTCATACAGAAGGGCTATGTTCTGTTAAAGCCTTCTTACCTTATGAGCTCTATCCCAAAATCTTAACGTGGCTGAGAATCACAGGAAACAAGCCGCATGTTAGCAGAACTGAAGGGAGAGGGGTCTCTGAGAGCAGGCAGAAAGCAGGAGAGGATGAAGGCTTCACAGGGGCCCCACTGGTCCTTTTGGGCTGGCCAGAATGTGTAGCTGAGTCCTAGGGTTCATCCGCCTTCTGGCTCACTTCTGCACCAGCCTGAGCCCACTTCCAGCAGTGCAGTCCTGACTTACTCACGGACAACATGCAGCTCATGAAGTTGCAGGAGACCACCCTTATTCTGGGCAATTTTACATGTGTAGATAGTATTGTTCCTTCACCCTTTCTTCAGACCAGTTAATTTTCTGCCTGTGCCTGTCACACTAGGACTTTTCTTAACTGCTCTGCAGAGTCAAAGGCTGGGAAAGGGTGGGAGTGCAGCAGGCTGAAGAATGTGCAAGGAGAGGGCTGAGTAAGTTTACAAACAGCAAAGCTCCAGGTCTTCTCAGGCTGTATCCCCCTCCAGAGATCTGCCGCTTATCAGAGACTCCGATGGCCTGAGTCTAGAGGGTAGTTCAGGGAAACAGGAGTTTTCAGTTTGTTCACTTCCCTAGATCTGCTGCTAATTTAATTGAATAAAGATTTCTCTAAGGAGGAAAACCTTGCTAAATTCTAATGGCTTCCAGCTGCTAAGCCAGTCTAAATAGTCCTGTCTTCTCTCCCCAACTACCTGCCACCTCTCCCCTCCAGACAGTCTCTCAGGAATGTCTGCTGAGTTTGAAGAAGATGCCTGCCTAGCAGATTGGAGGGTTTGTATTAGGCAGATGGTGGTATAAGCCTGTGGATACTTTTTTTTCCTGAAAGTTGACCCCTGTCCAAAGCCCCAGCTACACACAGAAAGCCTGGCATTTCTGTGCAAAACCAACATCCCCACTACATAACTCTGCTCTAGCATAATAAATAGCAACTTAGGAGTAGTATACAAAGATCCCATCCAGCACTCTGACCAGCTCTAACAGCACAGTATTCTCAGTCCCACTGAACTTCATTCACACTATAGGCACCTTTGTTATAACGCCTCCTTATAATAACAACATTCAAAGTGTTTGCCCTAAAGAAAGATGTCACGCTGAGAGAATAGAGAGTACTTCAGTGAGCTCTATTCAGTAACTTCCTCTAACAAGAGTCATTTATTATCTTGATGTACACTGCATTTAAGTTCAATTTTTGTCTATTAGGAAATAATGTGAATTCACACAGATGTTACTTGTCTATAGGGAAGAAAGGAAAAAAAAAAAACCTATGTCTTTTCGATGCTGCAATTTACATGAAGGCAGGTCAGAATGCCCTTGGTAATGGCATGAGACAGTGGGTGTTAAAGCCTTGGTTTAAAGAAACCAATTATAACAAAATAAAACATTATGGCAATTCATGCATAGTGTGCTTGAGCAGCAATACTGTCAGTGGGAGGCACATGGGAAGTGAATGAGGTCTTGAATAGATGAAGAAAGAGATATAGAAGGAGACTCACTTGCTCTTGGACTAACTAGAAAAGCTGCTTTAATCTCTCTGTATCTTTTTTCTGTCTCTTTCTCCCTCACTATCTCTTCAGGACTTTAGAGGATTCAATTAAGGGATTTCAGGGAGATTACACTGCATATCAGAAAGATTTTATTTTTTTTCTTAACACCAAGTGCTTTATGCTCCTGCCGCACGAGTAGCTGCTAACATCATGAGTGCCTTAAGTCATGTCTTCTTTTCAGTCAGGTTTTCCTTGTATAATCTTCCATTTAAAAAAAAAAAAGTCACAGGAATCTTCCCAGGTAGATTCAGGAGTTCCCATGCAGTCATTTAATGTGGACCTGCCAGGCCCATTACAGCTTTTTCCCCAGCCTGGTTTGCATTGCCCCACTATGCCAAACTGGGAGATATAAGCTAAGGACTCCATTGTACAGACCACTCTTGGTGAAGAATGAGAGAAAGGATATATTTCTGGTTAAATATAAAATTTCAATCTCCCAATGCCAGAAAAACTGTGGAGAGGGAACTCTGGGAAGCCGCAGAGTTATCTTAGATCTTAATCCTGATGAAGTCATCTCTCCACTGTGTGATGCGGCACTGCAGGCTGAGGAGCAAGTGCAGTGTTCAAACCTGCCCTGGGGATTGCAGGCAGAGGCAACCATGCTGTCTGAACCAGCTCTGTTTACGCTCACTGGAACTAAATATCTCTATAACCAGTTACACCTCTCCTATTACTTTAGCAGTCACTGCCATGCTTCACGTGCGTATCTGGCATGTGCTGAAACATCATGGCTAGGCCTCGTCCTGAAATACCCCTCCCTCTGCCCTGGCTCTTCCCAAGTCAGCTATATGGGACTGAGACCCTTTGAGAAACTTGTAGACTTGAAGGGGTAAGAGGACCTCGGAAATGAGTATCAGAGGGGTAAGAAGGAAAAGGGGAGAAACAAAACAACACTAAGTCTAAATCTTTGGCAATATTTAAAAGTAAATGTTTTTGAATCATCCTCATTAGCAGAAGGATCCTCGTAATGCTGTCAGGGCAGTAACTGTAAATCCTGTATCTCAGAAGGAAAGTTGAGGCCTCTACTGAAAGGCTAATATGATGACTAGCACTAGTTTCCAAAGTCCTACTTTAACAGGTAGACAAAAATACATGGGAAAAGAGGGGACTGCCCACACATCAGTTGTTCTAGCTACTTCTAGCCTTTTTTTGTCAAGAAAAGCATATTTTGTCTGGAAACACACAGAGATATAAACAGTGGTAATTGCGACTGATGAATCAATACAGTATCAAGCAGGCATTAAAGGCCTGGTATGATACTGGTCAGCTGAGTCTCGCTACAGGAAACAAAAAGCCCTTTCTTTCCAGCAGTTGTGGTTGCTCTGATAGTTTTGTCTTTATTACAGACACTGAGGTTTAACGGCTTCCAGAGATAATGGGAATAAACCAGGAATACAAAACGAGCGCTCTTCCAGAAGGTGCGTTTGTAACAACAACCCACAAGTTGTTCCACTCCTCAAATGGACAGCTTGTCCATTAGTGAAAAGACTGCTTCATTAGATTTGAATTTTTGAACTCTTTGCTCATGAGTAATTATTAGCAAATGCTAGCTGAATCTAGGAAAAAAAACCAGCTTTCTCGTTCTTACTTCCATTTATTGCTCTGTCTGGATTTCAAGCCTTCTCAGCAATAACAGAAACCATAGTAGATCTGGTTTTCTGTCTGCCATGAACTCTGTTGCCTCAGACCTTTGCAGCAGAGCAGTTAAGTCACAAGGACCACGTTTAAAGGGCACTTTCACTGTTACCAGCCCCTTTTCCTTAGTAACTGCTGCATACCTCCAGCCGCCAATTCCTTAGTGTCTTAAATTCAATTTAGGAAACAGCACAGCCAGCACTGTTCATTAGAAAGAACCTCTGCAGAAGGTCTAGTTGCGTCTGTCTCATTTGGGGGCTGTAGTGAGTTCATACAAAGTTTCTGCTATTGCCAGTCTAATGGCCATTTCTAGCTAGGGTATCAGAACCCAAACTGTGGGTGAACATCAGGATCATTTGCTCCAAAACCACATAGCGCTGATTCTCTTCTCCCTACAAATCAAGAGTACCTAAATCGTTTTGACCATATACAGTTAAACTTGTGCAATGGAATTAGTGGATTACAGCAGCCCCTGTGGTTGCAAAATAGGGTGAGCCATTTGGGCATGTACATCAGCTGTGAAAACAGAGGGTTGGTATGACACTGGTCTCAGTAGAATCAATCTGTGGGCTCCAGAATAATATCTAGGGATGTGGTAGTGCTACAAAACACAAAAAATCTAAGTTGCAAAAGCTGTGGTTTAAGTTTCATGACGCCTGGACCTTGTAAGAGCATGCTAAACAAGTAAGGAGCTAAGCTCACAAGAGCAAGGTTAGGGTACAAGAAGCTAAGGGCAAGTGCAGCACAGATGTTTTTGAAAACAGCATTAGATATGGATCTGCAAACAGGCTTGGCATCACCCGATGTGCAAGGATGACCAAAGCGAATACCGCAGATGAATTGCACATCAGGCTTTCAACTGACCACAGGCAGATGGGAAAAGCATTTACAGTATTGCAAAAACAAGGTGCAAGGGGTAACACAGCAATACAGATGACCAGAAAAGATTACTAGTTGTAGCTTAGCAAGTGAAAATAACACTTCCAGAGTCTGTTAGACAAAGCTCAGTTTTCAACATTTGAGCTTAAAGGACTCAAATTTGCTATAACCAAAGAAGATTGAGACTGAAACCTGAAAAGCTGGGATGGGGCATACTGAAAAGACAGAAAGCCTGGAAAAATTTTGGAGAAAAAAGATTAAAAATTAAATAAGCAGAGTTTTACACCATACAATAAGAGATGGAAATACTTGCAAATAGGTAAATCTACTGCCAGCAGGTCTAATCCACCTTAGTAGAATTAAACATTTTTTACAAAGTTTGGGGCATTTTTTTAAGCTGGCTGGTTTGCCTTAGCACAAATGCAGAGCAGGGGATGGCATAAAAATAAGAATACTTTAACTTGCTGTTCTCACTGTGTTCTTCATGCTATGAAATCTTGCCTTCAGTTTTCTAGTGAAGAGTTAATTGCTTCTGAAGGAAAAATCGCTCCAGTGGTTAGTGCCTCTGTGTTCTGTCTGCATCTAATGTATCATTCAAGTACTGTGTAGTAGTTCCCTGTTTATCCTTCCTACTGTTATCACTCCGATTTTGAAGCTTTTTCTCAGGGAAAACAATCTAGTATTCCATAGGCTTCTGCCACAACCATCTTTTTTAGATGGGTTTGTAACAGGATAAATTGAAAGAGACCCGAAACAAATTGGTACTGGAAAAAAAAAAGATGGTGCTTAGTGGGTTTCTTTTCCAAAGATATGACCTGTCTTGTCTTGCTGGTGAAGGGTGGGGTTTTTTTTTCATTGATGGTGCTGATGAGAAAGAGGAGATGGGAACAGACTTGTATGGAACTTTGACTGCTTTACTTTTTCTAAAATCCTGGAGGGATGTGAATATCACGAATCTCTAGTCTGCTCCCACCCTATTTGATTTGTCAGCTTTTTAACCCAAGTGTTTCAATCTATAGAACTTGGATAAGGTTAAGGATACTACATACAACTTGCAACAAGGGCCAGTTGCAAGTGCTTAAAACAGTGCTGCAAGACCACGGGTGTGTAAGATGGCCCTTCCCAAAGAAAACCTTCCTGACTTCCCACAATCGGTAGGGTTTTTTATAATGCTACCTCCTGCCTACCACCATACTGTAAAGGTGTATCAGCCTTCACTGAAGCCGGTATTTATTTACATATATATAGACACCCCACATCCACATCCTGCACACACACTCTCACTGGATGACATGAGGTAGGTATATGATACCTATACATCAGGCTGGTGCTTTTCAGACTTGAGCTGCAAAATATATAGGGTTTACTGCTTATGTCAGGATTTCTGCATTTACAAATCAGGATTTCTAAATTTCCATTCCAACAATTATCTCTCTTCCTTTCTCCCCTGCCCATCCCAACAATCATATTATATATGTCATGTATGTGAATGAGTTAATACCTTGGGTTTCTTGCAGGAGTGCAGGCTGTATATTTGTTGAAATGATCCAGGGCCAGCCAATATTTGCAGGAGCTTCTGGTACTCATGAACAGCTGGCGAAGATCTGGGCGGTGAGTAAAATATACCATAAAATGGAAGAGAAAAAGAATCAGTTGCTCTAACCCCCTACTTAATTTTGAAGTCGTAAGCATAGGTCCTGTGAATAGCAGAAATAATTTGGTCCAATCTGCCGAGTTCATAGGAGACTTTGCAACCCACTTTATATTTGGCAACTTTCTTACAGACACAGGAGTAAATCAAATGACTTTCCTTTGATGTTTGTCATCTCATCAAAAATTTAAAGCCAATTAAAGTGACATCAAATTGAAGAAGGCATAAAAGGTGTGCAGGTACTGCAAATTCTATTCCTTCTTGTTAAATCCTTTACTTACTGTAGGATACAGCACACCATATTCTCGCAAAGGAGCTCGAATACTGCTCTTAAACTGCCTTGCAAATGGCAAGACCCTGAGGTTTTTCAGAGATCCTTCTTCATTTTAACTTGGAACAGTTTGTGTCATCCAGTTTATGGTGCAGCTCTAGAGGCTGCTTTAGCATAATGGAAAGCGTGAGATTACTTTATAAAGGCAGCAATGAGTGAGAGCAGACATATTCAGGAGCCTCTTAAGCTGTTTTTTCTGCTGGGGAAAACTGAAACAGAGCCACATCCTTAGTGCGGCTTGGTAGAATTGAGGCAGTTACCAGCACTAGCGGGTTCTGTATGTTCCTTACTGTTCGTTGCTGACCCTGTTACTGACTCTTCAGGAAGGTCAGCCTATAGATTCCTATTGAGTTTTGCTGTATGTGTCTGCCCTTTCACATCTCCACCCAGGGATTTACTCTTCTGCACAGAGTATTTCCCAAACGTGGATTTTCAAAGGAGAAAGGACAGAAAACTGAAATTTGGGAAGTGGTGAGAAAGGACTTTATAGCCACAAGTCTGTGTAAGTCAGATTTTTCCTTCTTCATCCCTTCATCCAGAAACACTCCTGCCTGGTAAGGTTTTCCTCTCTGCTTTTAGCTAGAATGTGATAAAAAGACAGACAAGTGGGTCTAGTTCTTAGACTTGACTTCAGTCCATTTAAATAAATGCTGAATTTCTTTTTCATAGAGGGCGGGGAAAAAAAAAAAAAAGAATTATTGTGGAAAAAAAAATAATCCCTACTTGGCCAATTAACAGGGTTCAAAGCTAGGGCAGGGCCCGCTTTCCCAGAGTGTGAATGAAGGGTATCCTTCCACTTACGGCTCTGAAATCTCTGGATACGTTTCCTGTGGTTTTGCAGTTGGAGGGTTATAGCCCTATCTTCATTTCTCTGGTATTATAACTAATACCGTGATTAATAGGATTTGCGCTATAGAAGGCAAAAAAAAACTTATTTAAAAATCATGAGGAAGCTTTAAGAGCCATGAAATAATTAGGGCCTTTCACAGAAGGTTTTATGTTATTATACAGCCTGGAATGAGGCTCTGTGTTAGGCCAAGATTTCAAAGCTCCTTAGAGGCTTTCGATGCCTAACTTGAGGTATTTTGCCAAGTGTGAGGTTCAGAACGGGGATTCCTACTGTTTTCTAATAGTCAGTTCCTTTCATGTACTAATAATAGAGGCACCCTGCACTGGTTTAGAGACCATCTGCATTTGTGTGCATGAGTCTATATCACTCAGCATGCTTATCTCCACGTAGAACTGTTGGTTCAAACACCACATAGATATACAGCTGGAAAATCCCCATGCTGTGAAATGTGTTTGTCCTGTTGAATCATCAGGACTGACTGACTGTCATTTCACCAACATTTCTTCTAGAGGCAAGTGTCACCTTAAGCAGTCTCCATCCCCTATCTCTACCTCTGGCTGCTCATGCCTGCTCCTGGGTTACCCCTCGCATGTGCGGCTATGTGAACTGGGGAACCTATACCTTGGTTTTCTCCCTGGGTTACTCTAAACAAGAACAGTTTATTTACCCAGTTCATCATCTGGCTGCACAAATAGTAGCACTAATGACCAGTAGTACTCATGAAGGGATGACACAGGAACAGGACCAAATGGAAAAGGGGCGAAAAGGAAGGAGCTACTTAGGCCAGCAGTGCTGGTTATGGAAGTATGGCCTGAGTGAATGCGAACCGCAGTGTCCCCAGTTCTCGCGTGGCATGGACAATAAGCAAACCCGACAAACTTAAGATCCATCATTCAAATTTAAGAGATCAGGCATAGGTTTTGTATTCAAAAACTCCATCTTATTGATTAACATTGTGCTGAGAAGGACTTCATGTGGGCTGGATTAGGCTGCAGCATGCCACCAGCATGCTTCTGTGGCTGAGCTGAACACGTGACAAGTGCCAAATGAATGACTACAAGGCTTTTCTCTACAGAAAACATAACTTCCCAACAAAACTAAGCAAAATCAGCTAGGTTGATTCCTTCAGCTGGTTCATCACAGGAGAAGCAGGCAGTTAGAGAGCAGAGAGAGCTGCTAATAAATATACTCCCCAGAGTATATTTATTTAATTGACATTAATTATAACTCATTATCTCATTTGGCAAGGAAGCTCATTAATGGTCCAGGAGGAGGGGGAGAGAAAAATTCACCTTGGAAATTCAAAAATAGATCCAAATTCATGGTTTGGAATAGTATCTTTTGTAAAGAAAGGACTCGGAAAAGATAAATACAAATCCATATTCATATGGCATTCAGTGATTGGTGCTCTGAATGCTTTCGCACCTCAACTCAGCAAAATTTAAGCATTTGCTAAAAACCTTAAGTAGCAAAGTACAAGCATGCACAAATAACTATTTTCTTAAACTCTTCACCGAGGAAAAGCCAAGTGCTGAGCTGACCCTGGAGGGTATGATTTTACTACGAACCAAACTTCCCCAGCTCCCTCTGATGCCTTTAGGACTGATGCCTGATGGCTCATAAGAAACCTTGAATAAGGGTCCACACAAACGCAGACATGGCACTTCAGAACACACACCTGGATTTTCAGTGCAGAATATTTTAGAGGTTTTGCTGTGGCTTCCTGGAAAGCTAAGAGGATAGCAAAAGAGAGCAAATTCTGGATTCAGATTCCAGCTTTCTCTTTCCTGTGCACACAGATTGTGCTTTGGGCAGACCTGCCCTACTTACATCAGACACACACCAGTCAAGAATGCATCCTCATCCAGAGCTGTCAAATTACCCTGAGCGCAAGCCGCCTTCCACCATCCTCACATGGCTGAACGCCGCAAGACACCTTCTCTTTGCAGAGCTTTCAAGCTTCCAAGACTGATTTGGGGCAGCTTTTAAGACTGATTTTACAGGTAAGCAGAGACAAGGGTCCTACCCCTTTGTCTTTGCTGTGGCAGGCTGAATAAATAAGCAGTTTGGAAACGTGGGCCACAGCAAGCCACCCTAGCTTGCTTCCCCCCACAGACCACCACGCTAATAAGTGCCTGCTGTGAGATACAGTCCCTGCTTGTGGCTGTCTTCTCCAGGTAGCTGTAATTGTCCTCACAGCTGTTTCCCAACTGTGCATGAGAAAAGCAATCAGCTACCAGATGCATAACAACTGCAACAACCAGGCTTTATATTTCTTCCTTCTTTAATGTATTTATTTACTGATGCCTGTTCTCTTGCAATCTTATCACACGTTTCTGAGGCCGAGTTCCCCATATCATAGATCTCAGCTTTCATTTTAAGGAAAAGGAATTGTCTATCATATGCAAAGTGTGACTAATGTGAGACAAATCTAATGTCGGAGAAGAGAAAGTGAATAAAAAACCCTGACATTTTTCATGTTAAAATTTCACCGTTTTTTAGGGAAATCTGATAATTTTGGGGGTTGTCTAGATGATAAGCTTTGAATGTTTGGAGTTAGCAGTACTGATTTATAATACCATATCACATGCTGTGAACTGTTCTTAAATATGTGGCTTTACCTCTTTAGCACAACTCATCCATATCAATAGGCACGAGGCACTTTGCATGTGGCAAGTAATAATAATAACACAAAACATCCGCAACTGCAGCCAGCACAGAAATCTGGATATGTTTGATATCACACATTTCAGCAACTAAAATGAGGTTGGAGGAGGCTTTCCTGGCCCAAACTTTGCTCAGTGAGGATCTACTTCTGAAGCCCACAATTCACAATAAAGTCCAAAGACACTGCTGAAGCTCTGGACCCTTCACGATGAGACACTGGACTGCTTTCTAGCACCTGCCAGTAGACCCGTCTGCCAGTTTTTCTTTTACACCTTAGAATGGCAGGGGTTTCTATCGCAGCTCACAGCCTGTGCTGCCACTGAGGAGCGTATGGGCTGCTGCCAGCGCAAGTGGGCAGAGTAAGTCCCCAGTGCAGCTCTGGCACAGGACACCTTCATCGGTGAAAAGGGGCTGAACAATGTGACCCCCTGGGCTGGCAAACACAGGCAGGAGTGGCACCTGGCGGTGAAGCTGCATGCGCCTTCACTGATGTTCCCAGCAGCAACAACATTCAATCTCAGCAGGACCCTTTCTGCTATAAAATCAAGTGCTAAAATAGCAGTGTCCTTTATGCGCAGTGGTAGATCCAGCACCAGCCAGGGCAGTGTGAATGTGCGCCAGTTTACAGTAAAGGCCACAGTCTCTCTCAGTTGAGACCAATTCCTCCAGCTACACACCAAGGCAGGGTATTGGCAGACAGAGGTTATTGCTCTTCTCACTCTCCTTCTTCTTTTCACAGGTATTGGGAGTCCCAACTGAGGACACCTGGCCAGGACTTTCCAAGCTCCCCAGCTATAACCCAGGTAGGATTTAATTCACAAGAATGCCAGCTTTTTCTCTGAGCCAGCAGTCACTTAATTTTTGGGTCAGTAATTCTCATTAGGAAAAATCCTATGCTTCAGTGTAACTAAATCCCTTGAGCTAGTTAACAATAGTGTTGTTGTAGGACCTACAACACTGGGATTGGCCTAGCGTACAAGCAAAGCTACATGCGTGGCAAAGTTGCCTCACTGAGCGTTGGGTATATGTTAAGCTGACGGAAGATTTCATTGCTGCAAGTGCTGACAATGTAGTTAGTCTCCACTCCTGAGTGCAAAGGACTGATGTCTCCTGGTTTAGACTGGAAAAGCTGACAGGTACCTGGAGACACAGTTTATCTGAACTCTCCTTATTTTTATGGAGATTGGTTTGGGGGCCTTTAAACCTCAGCTTTAAAGGTCACTGTCCCTGATTTTGATGTGGGCAAGGTGAGAAATCTGTGTGATTTATAAAGCTGGCTTCTTTTATTTCCACATGGGCTGGTAGAGAAGTCTGTGTCCTGGACTTCAAAGGGCCAGTTGTCTCTTATTTTGATGTGGGCAGGTTGAGAAGTATGCTTTGAAAAGCTAGCTCCGTCATTCTCCCTCTCCCCCCCTCTCTCTCCCTTTCTCTCTCTCTCTTTTTGTTTAATGTTTTCTCTTGGGAAAATATATTCAAGTGTCAGTGAGGGGGAAATGATGAGCACTGATTCTCAGCCTCTCAGCAGGATCATTCTCTAAGAGAAATATAAAAGTGAAATATTAAAAACCCTAGAATGTGAAATCCACCCATCTACAATCTAGCCATTCTTTCTCACTTGTACCCCAAGAGAGTCGTGGGGGAAGCCTGTCTATCCAGAAGGGGGGAAAAAGAGCAGGGGGGAGAGGAGGAGGGAAAAGACGTGCTTTGAGCAAGAGGTTTACAGGTTTAGTAGAGCATAGTAACATCTTTTCAAAGAAGTGGGTGTTGCTCTGTGACCCAGTCCAAGATGCCCCTCCTTTGATTCTGGTGCATGAACACTAAACAGCCTCCATTTTCACATGGTAGCCACGATTGGCTGAACAATAACCTGGTCTCACAGCCGAAAGGACTGGAATCTTTCACACAATTAGCTGAGACACATTAATCAAACCAGCGTGAAATGGGAATGTGTCGCTGTCCACAGCAAGTTTAATTTGGATAGCGAGCAAGCACAGAGCAGACAGCTGGAGGAAGCACTTTCTTCTCTAAGTTGTTGAAGGCTTGGCTGGGTAGTCTACAAGTTGGGAAGGGTAGTCTGGGAGGAAACAAACGCTCATGTGTGGGACAAACTGGTCACAAAGAATTTGTTTTATGCCAGTCATGTGCTCATACAAGGCCAAAAACTCTCAGTGATGATGATTAGGTATCCCGATGCTATACAGAGGGACAATGTAAAAGTGCAAGCATTAAGGCTACGCTAGCAAAGAAACTAGCATAGACAAGAGAGAATGTGTGAGTGCCCACAACTGCCCTGAGCGGCAACTCTGGCTTAGCTTTGTTTTGTGTGAGTAGCAGTGCTGTCCTCTGCTGCTGTGGAGAGTGCCAGTGGCAGGGCTGGGAGGGAAAGGACAGGCACGTAGGCAGCATGGAAATAGCCCACATAAAGACAAGTCTAGTCATCATAAGCAGTTTTCAAGTCTGAGTTGCTTTCAGGCTTGATAAAAAGTTTCCCTTATGGACTGCAGCAAGGCAGAATTGACCTGTGCTGTGATCCTGTGATGCTGGTGCCTTTTGTGGCTGGAGCAGACAGAAATGCAGGAGTTAGAGGACACCTTCCCATGGGAGCATCCCACCATGCTAGCAAAGACATGGGAGAGGGATGCTGAGCCAGTGTTCGGGTCATTAGCTGTGCCAGCTGGAGAGGCAGCATCCCTTTCCCCTCCTCAGAGCCTGCCTAAGGGGCTCCGAGCTGCTCCACCTACTGGAACCAAGCACCTAGCTCACACCTGGATTACACAAACCAGTCTGGATAGAAAAAGATTAGTCATGTAAGGTTGGACTATTTGCCCTAGTCATGAACTAAATCAAGTCAGTTTTTGATGGAGCTGCTGGTAAGAAGGCAAATTAATCTCTTTGTTTAAAGCTATTTGTCATTCACATGCTTCTGTGCGCTTCCCCTCTCTTCCCTGAAGCGCAAGTGCCATTTTCCCCCGCCAGGACATGCTCAGCCTGAGTGGAAGCTGTGGAGTCTGCCTGAGAAAACCTTCTCTCTTGAGGTTATTTCCAGCCCAGTTGTGAGAATCTGAGTGCCTGGGATGTTTCAGATAAGCAAACAAACTTTGGAGCACTTCCCCAAATCTGATGGCTTGAATGCTTTTAGCTAGTCCTATTGATGTTCGAACTGAGCGCAGGCAGCAAACAAACAAACAGGTTCCTGCCCGAGGCAAGGAACGAACACGGGCAAAACAAAGCACTGAGGTGTGATCCTATTCTCATTGAAGTTGATGGCAAAACTCCCACTGGATTCGGCAGTGTAGGCTCAGCCCGACTGAGGTTGTTACTGGAAGGGTTCCTGGGCCGGGTGGGTTAGTAGGAATCTTTGAAATGAAAGCTGGAAACCTTTAGATGTTTTCCTGTCACTACTGTGGGCTCAAGCACATCCTGCTGCAGAGTCTGAAGAGGAGATACAGCATGGGCTGTTGGGTCTGTGAGCCAGGCACACACAGGGCAGCTCCCCTGGCCCCTCTGTGGATAACTGGCAAGGGGTGAAATGGGCAAAGGAATACTTGTCCACTCTATGCCCCTGTGCCTTCTTCCACAGAGAAATTCAGAAAAGGGCATTATGCCCATTGCCTACAGTTTGCCAAAATCTCAACCTCTGCCTGACCCCAGGTGAACAGGAAGGATGGGTGAGCAACTCTTCCCTGGCCAGCCCTGCAGCTTGCAATCTCCGTGTCTCCCTGCAGGAGAGACAGTTGGGGTAGGGAATTACATGCAGCCATGGGGCCTGAAAGCATGGTTTCACCCCAGCCCTGGCTTGAGAACCGGTTCCTGCAAAACATGAAGGGTTGGAAGAGCTCCTGCCCCAAATCTTAGCACACTCACTGGCCCTCTCCCTGGCTCCCCCGGCTGAGGAGCCCTGCCCGTAGCGACAAGGCTTTGCCCTGTGTTTGTTCATTTGTTCTGTTCCCCTCATTTTGCTTCCCCTGAAAGAGGCAGTTGTAGCTCTGTTAACACTATTTTTGAAAGCTCTCATGCTGTGTGAGCTCAAATCCTTGCATTAATCTACTGCTGTGTTCATTTCACTGCGCTGAAAAGCAGGGAGTTTAAATCCCCTCTAAACACCATTGGTGACACCAGAAGGCCAGTGTTTTGATCCAGCCCCATTAATGGTTACAAGTTTGAATCTAGACAGCAGGGGTCAAGGGCAGGAAAGGATTAGGAATCACTGCCCATGACATTAAGCTCATGCTTTTGCCAAACTGGGAACACTGGAGCGCCCAATGCACCGAGTTGTTTTTTGTTTCCTTTTTCTGACATTTGGGTTCCAAAGAGCAGGGAATAGTGCTTATTTGTTTATAACATGTTGAACTTGCTATGAGCGAGCTTTACTCCTTGATTTATCGCACAGGCTGACCAATGAATTTTCCAACGTCAGGTAGTATCATCACACTTAGCAGACACAGGTTTTACACTGGCTTTTTTCAGATGCAGCAATGACTTTTAAATTAAGCCTAGTTTTTCACATTTCTTCAGGGTTTGCTATGCTGAATGGGATTTAGAAGCCTTCCAGAGTCAACTTTTGCTCCCGAGTACAGATTTTTAATCTCTGTTGCGCTTCCAAAATGTTACCAGCAGGTGGAGGCAACAAGCAGCAGGCTCTGAACCACAAACTTCAAATGACATTTTTGAGAATGCAGATGAAGTCTGCACGCTGAGTGCTTTTTTTTTTCTTATTTTTTATCTCACTTTTTATGCTGATGCTTCATTTAAAAAATGGGATGGTTTGAAACCGAATTCTAAAACGATGAAATTTTTATTGTCATAATAAACTGCATGTGGCTTTGATCCCAAAGGGAAGAGCAGCACTGTAACTAATGCCCAGTATACACTGGCCAGGCTGCAGGGAAACTTCCTATCTATCTGGCACTGGGCACAGACTGCAGTTTCCAGCCTGCCACACAGACAGAGCTCTGCTTCTATCCTGCAGCCACAGAGATTTCACTAATGAGAGAAATTTTCTCTGCGAGCCTGCAACCCCAGCACCTTCATCCAGCAGCACTTGGCATCCTCTTTCTCTCCCTTCATCAATTAGGAAAGTTTAACTTTTGTCCTCTGGCTTGCTTGCCTTATTATCAGTTCATTAGCCACTTCCACCTGAGTTTTCATATAGGAAGGTATTTCCTCATTAGCACACACTGCCTTGCATACTGATAGAAAATAACAAACCTGAGTGCTTCCTTGCAGATCTACTGGTATTGTTAAAAAAGCCAATCAATCAGCCCTACACAATCCCATCATTTTATGTCTACATCATCATTGGAAGGTGATTAAATCAGTAGTTCATCCACTTTTTGGAGTGATATCCAAATATTCTTTCTCTCTTACCTTTAAGGAGTAGCTGTTTACGCTGTTTTACAATTTTAGATTGGTCTTAATTTTTACAGTAGGGAATATATTTACTGCTGTGTTCTTACCCTGCTCAACACAATGGGGCCTCAACATTCTGTAAGGGTTTGTCTATATGGGGTCAACCAGGAGACTAATCTGAACTGATTTAAAGTGGATTAGTTAACTGCATTAAATCCTTGAGCAGAGACACACTGTTTTCTTACCCATATCTTCCATTTATAATCAAAGCTCTGTATACTCAAAGTGGCAAGTTTGGCAGTCCTCACTCAAGCAGAATTCTCCACTGAGAGATGTGTTTGGACAGGGACAGCAGTAGTTGGCTCACTGGCTCTTACACTACCTCTTCTAGATAATTATTAATCTTCATGTTATATAAATGATAAATTTAAGTCAAGAGGCTTGCTCGAGACAGCAAAGACTATAATTCAGGTATTCCTCCCAGTTACCAGTAAGCAAGTTGATATTTCTATCTGTAATGTAAAGAAAATCCTATTTCCTCTTTGGAATGTTAATCCTGAAAAGGCACTCCATAAAAACAAAGTGGCATTTCAGTTAGATATCACTGAAACACTTTGCCCCGCTGTTATCACCTGAATGTGCATTTTTTAACTTTTATGTTAAACTCATTAAAGAATATTAATGTTAAAAGATTTCAGTACAGTTGAAGTACAATATTTAAGCCATCTGGACGTTTTTATTAAATATTGAAGGAAATTGAATGGAATGTTTCCATCTCACAAATCAAAATTTTCTGGCAGAGTGTTATAACATCTGAAAGTTTTTGGCCAGCTCTGCGAAGAGGTAAAGATTTCTACCTCATGCAAAAAAATCTTATGCCTTTCCAAACCATTTTTTAAATTGTTTTTCTTCTATTCTGCTTGGAAACTTTACATCTCTACTCAATATGGACATTTACTTCTGCACTTTTATTACAGTCGAGGGGGCAAAATGAAGGAAAGAGGATCCAGAGAGAATGTTATTAGTGATCCAAGAGGAATGTTCTGCCAGAGTTAATCTTGGTGACTGATTTGGGAACAGTCTATTCAAGGTACTAATATATAACCTCTATATATTGGTGATAATTACAGCACTCTGGCACCTAAACAGTCATGAATCCCATCCCAGATTATATTGCCATTTACTGCTTTAGCAATTACCTTAGTATTTGGGTGTAGGGCAACACTTCAATTGTGAACTGTTGCTTACCCTGTGATAGACAGGTTTAACAACCTGCTTGCCTGGCTTAATGGTGAAAGATTGCTGTTGGAAAGGTTAAGTGCTGAAAGTTCAGTCATTTGCACTTTTTCAAATCGCCTGTGCATCAAGTTAGATACTGAGTGACCGAGCCCCTGGGCCTGGCACTCTGGAAATGGCCACGCAGGTGAAGGCAGAGGGGACTCCTACTTTGCCCGCAGCTGGCAGCTTCTGTCCCTGAATGACGTGGGTGGTGGTCCAGGACAGGAAGGGACGGCAGATGCTCTCAGATGGTGCAGCATAAGCCCCAGCGGTGTTCTGAGTCTACTGGCAATAGACCAGTGGCACTTGCCTCCTGGTCTCGCTGCCGCAGGGAATGCTTGTCCAGGCTGGGCTAGAAGAGAGGTCTACACCACATTTCCTGCTCTCCTTTCCATGGCTAGAGCACTGTTCATCTCTGCTGTCAGAAATGGTGCTCAGGAAAATGTAGCTGGGTAGAAATTACAGCCTTTCTGATGCAAGAAAATGTCTCTGTTGATCAGCTCTAAGGGGAAATCTTCCAGACTTATGCCATTCATTCATATCTAAGCCTGACAAAATTCATGCTGCATAAGAAAACATTTAAGGAATGTATTCCTCTACATTTTCCACAGTGTTTAGAAATGAGTCCTTGACAAATGGCAACAACAACAACACAGCCTTCCCAAAACTGCAAACTCCGCAAAGTTCCAGTCTGGTAGAGATGTTTGAATCACTAAGTACAAAGGGTGCATGAAAATGGTTAACTTGATAAACGACAAACTTAGTGAGGGATTGACAGCAAGAGCAGTGGGCAAGAAGAGAGAAGGACCCAAGTGCCTTTGCTCCATCCCCAGTCTTCCTGCCAGATCCATGCAGAAAAGCCCCATGTGCCCACAGGGCAATACAGGATGCTCAGCAGCCCCTTGGTAAGCCAAGACAATTGCTGGGGATTCAGGCCTGCCAACCTCTTTCTGCTTCCTTCATGTGAAGACTTCAGGGACTGACGCTGCTTTTATTGAAGTCAAAGCGAAGACTCACACTGTAACAGAAGGAGGCCCAAGGCCTGTATTCACAGACGCATGAAAGGAAAGGGTTACAGAACTGGAACAGCCTTATTAACATCAATGCTGGTACTGAAGTCCTATAGGAATAATGTATATTTATAAATACTAAGATGACAGATTCTATAGGGCCCTTTGAAATTCTGAGCACACATTTTTTGTAAGGGCTCAAAGAATGGGTTTTGGCTTGATTTTCATTTAATCCTGTGATTGCATATTACACTTTCTAGAACTGGTTGCTTCCAGGAGACCTCAGAGACTCCGAGTCATCTGTGACAGGTAAGCTACCTATAACGGCAACGTCAAAATCGCCTCTGGGTTTATTTGTTTCTTTATGCAATCATTTAACTTGAAATGAGCTCTTTTGGCAAGCTCAGGAAGAGCCGGGTGGCTCTGTAGTAACAAGCAGATCTAACATCAGTTAAGCAACTGATTTCGAGAGATTGCAGCAGAGGTAGGCACATAGTGGGTTTATTATTCTCAGAGGAGTAGTGATTATTCTCAGATAAGCAGTGATTCAATGACATTATGAGCAGCTTTTTGCGGGACACAGTTCAATTCAGAAGGTCGTAGTTTCCCAGGCCCTCTTGCCCAGACTGAAGACAGACTTTGCACTGTCCCAATTTTCATTTCTAGAAACAGGAACATTGCTCAACAGTGGTAAGGAAGACATGCTAGGACAGCATTTTTATGAGACAATGAAATAATCTTGTGATTAGTTAGGCGGGGAAAATTCACATTCTTCAGTGGCCAAAAGCTATGAGACTAAGGCCATGGTCACATACGTCAGCTTGACCAGGCTCACCAACACCACCCAATCACTCCATAGTGTGCTAAGAGAAGGGTGTATTTTTCAAGCATACATATGTACACACACACACACACACATAATGTATATATGTATCGGTGAAAGAAATTTATAATCAGGCAAAGTGCCCTAACCTAGCTCAGAGAGTCATTAAAATCAAATCTCCCCCACCCTCCCCCGCCCCGTACTGATTTTGAGGTACACAACAGACTTTATAGTCATGCAGGAAAAGACTAGACAGGATTTGTCCTCAGGATTGTGTTCACGCACAAGCAAATATTCTTTTGAGGACCTAACCACATTTTTCATTGCTGCTGTTTATTATCTGTTCAGCTCATTGCTTGGGATCCAGCCCTGCTCGGAGGGAAGTGTGCTGCCCTTCAGAGCTGGGTTTGCCAGACTCTGTTCTGAATGGCTGAACAAACATGCTGAAGTTTTCAGCAAAGCACAGGTTGCTGAAATGCCAGCCATTGTCGTGCACATCTTCAGAAACACACAAAGCTCGGCACATCCCAAACCCTGACAACACAGGTCCTGGAAAAGAACAAATCCTCTCTCAGCCTGAACAAAGAAATAACTATATTCCTCGCAACTCTGCTGTATTGCACTTGTGCTTTTTGGTTGTAATCCCTTGACGGGCCCCATTACAGCCCCATACTGACAGGCTCATCCAGCACCACTGCAGCTGAGCTCTGGACTGCATGTGGGCCAGCTCCAGCTCTAGATTACAGAGTCCTTATGCCGGCATGGCCAAATGGCCGCCTTGGCATGCTCAGCTCTTGAGAAGGAAAGAGCTGCTTCATACAGACTACTCAGCCATGACTGTCCATGGCCAATTAAGAAATCAAAGGGGAGCTCTGTGTAGAGCTCGGCCACCACCAGGAAGCCTGCGCCACGGTGGGAAAGCACTGAACCATGGTTGCTGCCCAGTGTGGGAGCCTGCAGCAGCAGGGACCGAGGGGGCAGAGGGTCTCCAGTGAGACCCTGCCATGGCAGGGGCAGCCTGTGGTGTAACTCCAGCAGGCAGCCTCAGGCTGGATCCTTTGGCTGCCTGTCCTGTCCCTGCCTCCCCAAGGCAGCAGGGGCTCAAACTGTTTTGCTGGAGGTGAGAATTCAGCAGTTATCTACCGCAGTGAGGCCAGATACCTTTTATAAATCTGTTTCTCAGGATATCTATCTCTCTCTGTGCCTTTTCCATTCTTTTTTTTTTTACATTTTATCTCCTCAAAACAAATATGTCAGCCTGTCAAATGTCCCGTGCAGGGAGGGGGAGTGCAGGGGCAGGGGGATTCCGGTGCCTGATGTCACTTGGAGGGGAAGCAGTGGCGGGGGCTGAGGGAGGAAGCACAGCAGGCCATGCTCTGATGGGCCTCCTGATGCTGAAACATGATCAGAACAAACAAACAAACAAAAAGCTGTAAAACTAAATGACTATTTTTATTTGTTTCCCTGTTGGTTTGTTTTCTCTCTTCTACTTCCTTGTCCCCAGCTGTGTGCTCCTCTAGAAAGCAGCCACTTGGCATTGGTATTTGCTGGGCATGGAGCACGTGTGTATTACATCTATTTTAAGCGCTCATCCTGAGAAACAGATTCATCTCTGTGAATCCCCAACACATTTTACAACCAGCTGCACTACTGGTACTAGGGTAGGAAAAGGGGAAATGGTATTTTATTTAGTTTTTTTAGTGTTGACCTCTGGTCTGCTCAGTGGGCCAGTCAGGTTATTTTGGGCACTTGGATTGTCACTGGCAACACCAACCTCTGATATTCCAGTTATGACATGTAAAATACAGTCTCCCCAGCAGCATTTTCCCTTTTACTTACAACCTTATTTTTACAAAACAACAATGTATTATGAAAATTTCTCTGAAAACATGAGTTTGAGCTGAAATCCTGGATGCATATACTCCAACATAATCAAACTCACATGGAAAAGCAAATGTCCTGGAAAGCTATACAGCTGGGGTGGGTTTATCCAAATCCCCTGTGTCCCTCCACTATCTCTGCCTCAAGCTCTGAGAAGGGCTGGGTCAAGTTCTGGTTCCAGCTTTCTGGCTTGTGCTCATCTCCTACACTATTTTTTCTCCCGTTTTCCTAGGCTGAGCAGGGTGCCAGCAGCAGAGGATTTGGCCTCCAGGATGCTTACAGCCTTCCCTCGAGGCCGGATCTCTGCTCAAGATGCACTTCTTCATGGCTTCTTCAGCCCTCTGCCTCCTCAGCTCTATCAGGCTTCTGCTGGTAAGTTAACTCTTGATTTCATCTCACTAAGAGAGAGCTACTTCACATGTCATTTATTATGAGTTTCTTCTATACTTTGAAAGTCTCTGCCATTCACCCGGACATGTCTCTCTTTTCTGCCTGCCCTTCCTCCTCACTCCCATAGCTGCAAAGTTTACATCCCATTGCAAATTTCACAGCTTGTTTTTCTGTTTTCTTCCACTTGACCAGTGTTAATACTAAAAGGGGACCTGGATGGGCTGCCGCCATGGTACATTTACAAAGCGGAGGAGTATATGCTTTGACAGGTCATTTCTCCCCCATTCTGTAACCCCAGGGGCACAGAGCTTTCCCTGGGGCTGGCTCACACTGTGTATTCAGTGTAAGTCACATGCCAGTCCCTCCTGATGTCCTGAATTCCCAGCTGCTCAGCATGGTGTCCTAGCCCCAATTCCCTTGGACCGCTCCTCTTGCTCCCTTTTGATGTTCAGAGACAACAGCTGTTCCTCATACCCTGTCGCACCAGCTCTCCCTCAGTTTTACCTGTGTTATTTTCTTCTTCCCTTGCTCCCTTCTCTTAAGCACACAGCTGCATACACACAGATCTGCCTCTCCTGTCCCGAGCTGACAATAGATACAGGGTCTCTCAAGATACAGGTTCTGTTCCTTACTAGGAAAAGCTCCCTCCTGTCGGGCAACAGGCCAGAGAGCCCTCACATTCCCCATTGCCTCCTGGGCACTCACTGTACTAGTTAGTTTGGTGGGGTTTTTTAAGATAGGGGCAATTAAGAAGTCTTCTTGCACTGTGTTGACAAGCTATTTGAAAACTTAATTTCTGCATCCTGTGACACATCCCAAGTGAAGGAGCAGCCAGCTAGCGTCTCTCCCAAACCACCACCCTTCAGAAGGTGCTCTCTGTGTGTATGTGCATGAGTGAGAGACATCTGCATTCCTTTTCTGTTCACCCAGCCACAGAGCACAAATCTACTTTGACACTTTTAGAAAAATGAAAAGATGGAATCTCGCAGGAGCCTGCCTGTGCCGGGGGGGGGAGGAGGGGAGCACGCACAGCAGGAGGGAAGTTGACTTTTCTTTATACATATAGGGTTTTTTCCATGCAGAGTTTAAATTATGCCTGATAAAAGGAGTTTCGTGGATGTTTCAGTTCTTTCAAACCCTCCTGGCTTCCTCCCAATTAAATGAGGTTTGTCAAAGCCACAGGGCTCTGCTGCTGCCGGAGAGGCGGACAAGCACTTCCCGCAGTGACATCTCCAATCCCCAAGGGAGAAGATGAAAGTGTCAGTGCCAAGAGAGAGAGAGAGTGTGGAAAAAAACAGGTACAGAGACAGACAATGTGAGAGAAAAGGAGAGAGTGAGGAGAAACAGACGGAATGAGAAAACAGATTGGCATAATGTGTCAGTCTCTCCAACACACTGCCAGAGAGGGGCTAGATTCATTTCACCTGGGTTTATACACCATCCCATATGTATTGTCCCCCATATTGCGGCGAGAAGTACCTTGTGGACAGGAAACTGCATGGCGTTATCATAGCAACCAGTGTGTTGGGAACAGAATCAAAGTGCACAGGGCTGAAACAAGTACAGTACGATCATGCAAGGCCATATTCATGAGTGATTCATTAAGCCTGTAAAAATTAGGCAATTCTGAATAATGTCCTATGTAGCCATTCCTATTTCCATAATTGTGTAAGGCATTTGTTCTCTTGTGTCATTTTGGCAACACACTACGTTGGAATTTACCTGTGTAATTTTAAAATTCTGGTTGCTATGATAACACAGAGCAGATTTTAAATATATTCTGTTCCCACTTTGTTCTGGAGGATGCTGGCTATTAGTCCCCATCCTCTGAAGGAGAAAGTTAAAGCAGAAGGGCAAAGAATGAGCTGGAGATGAAAGGTGAAAGGAGGAGGGGGCTGATCCCAAGGTATGTGAGAGAGTAAGCAGGAAACAACATTTGAAAAAATAAAAGGTTCCCGTAAGAATTTATTTTCTATTTTTATGAAATAATTATAGCATAACTGTCCTTTTTATAAGTTGCTATGACAAGCTGGAAGCCAGAGGATGTTTTTCAAAGGTCAATTCCTGGGAAAAAATAATTGGAGAATCAGTGTTTCAAAGATAAGTACCCCTCCAAATAGCATGTTGCTGCTTACTGAGGGGAATGCTAATGACTAGAGGCTGGCTGCTGCCCCTGGGAAGGGGGAGAGGGAACAAGGGGGTCTTTGCTTCCTGGTGGTCAGCTCCTGCAGAGGGGAACGGGTTGCTGTTGCTTATGCCCATCTGGATGTAAAGTGCTAGAAAAAAAAGAGTACCCCACGCTGTAAGAGGAAGACTCTCTGTCCCCAAGTGGGGCTGGTCCACACGTGGGCCTCTCCTGCAACTGCTCGCTCCTGTGCCTCTAGTGCTAGAAGGGACTGCTAAGGCCCAGGTTCAGCCCCAACTCATCGTCTTGGTGGCCTTAATTCTATACACGCCACCAGCATCTCTGGATATGGCAATGAAGGAGAGGAGCATGGGATTCTCCAGTTTCCTTCCACTGTGGCTAGTAGCCTAAGGGGTGGCAGTGATGACCTTTCATAAAACCAGAGCATTTGCTGTCCTTTTTCTGGCCTAAGCCAATCCCGAGACAATTATCTTTGTGCAGTGCAGCCCTGCACTACAGCAGCTCTGATAAAACTTCAGTCTAACCCTTTGCCACCAGCTAAAGCAGAATGTTTTCTGTCCAATTAATCACTCCTGGAAGAAAAATGAGATCCTTGAATCAAGAAAGCATGAGCTGTGCTCTCAACTCAGTGTCAGTCCTGAAGTGCAAAGGGTCTTCTGAGAAGGTATCTCACTCTGCTGTCAGACAGGTCAGACACAGTAACAATTGCAGCTTATTATTCTTAGTTATGGATTTGGTTTATTTTCCCTTTCTTTTGCCCTCGAATGCTTTAGAACAGGCTCACAAGCAGGGAGCGTGAGCAATGGGATTTGGGATTAGTACCAGTGTGCTCCCAAGAAAACATATTGCAAGAAGAGCTCTGGCCAAACAACCCAGGCGCACGGGCTAGGGAGGCCTGAGCTGGCACCTCAGATCCTGTCCACATTGGACCGATGTCCAAGCTGAGTATAGACCTTTCTCATAGTTCAGGAGACATTCAACCCTGGGCATACCATTGGCACAGCAGTTAGCAATTTGTGCTCCGTGAGGAGGATTGCGTGTTGAGTGGATGTGATCCTGGTTTTGACTTGGAGGGACTTGCTCCTTTTGGGTACGGTTGGTCTCTGGCTGCTACCTCCCCCCAGCAATTCAAAAACGGTGTGCCAGGTGGTGATGACACTGTACCATTTCTCCTAAAACAGCCTGCTGTTCAGCTTTTCAGAGACAAGGAGAAGGAGGGAGGATTGACATTTACAGAGCACTGTCATTTTAATGCCTGTTGCATCTAAATTAGTGCAAAGCAAGTGTAGGCAACGAGGAGGTTAAGGCTGCAAGTCGTTGCCTACCAAAAATCCTGTAGCTGTTGGGATTAGCCAGTGCTGGTAGATGTTATCACAGGGCATGTATAAAAAAGAGCTGGCTTTCATGGACATCTTGTTTGGGTTGGCTGCTTTCCCTAGGTTCTCCTACATAGCTAAAAGCTTTATATAGTTACTTACATTTTTTTACCTCTGTGCTTTGCTGCCTCTGTATACAGCAAATTGATATCCTTCACTGCAAATCAGATACAGACACCGAGAAAGTGAAGTTCCCACCAGGTGTACGAATCTGGTTTATGTGTCTTAATAAGGGAATAAACCAAAGTTGGTGTAGAGCAGCAAATCAGCTGTCACTCCTGAACCAGAAGCAGTCTTTTTTTGTGAGGTGATAAAGCACATCTTCACTTAACTCAGGAAAAACACCTTTTACTTCAGCTGGCCCAATCTCCACAGTGGTGGAAGGTCTGTTTGTGTAAATACTGACAGAACACTGAGGTTTTGTATTAATGTCGTTAAGCCACCACCCTGGGAAAGAGCCATTGCAACATCAGAGCAGATGTGCGCCAAGGGCACAGGCCTCTGGAGATGTTTCCCTACTTAAGCTCTTCCCTGGTCTCTGGCCTGGAACAGGCATCATGCTGGCAGGTGCTGGGCCCTGTTTGAGAGCACAGGGCAAAGGGGAAGATGGGAAAAGAAGGAAGGTTTCCTTTGCTCACTCCCCAGCTCATGCTCTTGCAAAAGCACAACTGGCGCAAAGTTTGGCCCACATGACTTGTGGAAACAAAGTCCTACAGACATGGATCAAATGCTCTGACTCCCATTGATCTCAGGCCAGAGAATCTCTATAAAGGTCTTATTGTTCAGGGAGATGAACTGCTCTTGGGGGGAGCACTGTTAATACCCTTGATGGAGGCAGACGTTACTGCATCAGAGGTTAGCAGACATTTTTCTGTATTTTGTTTAATTGCAAGTTATATCTGAGGTTTCTTTAACTTCCACTTTCCCTTTAACACTCTTAAATGCAAATCTGAGAAGATTTAGTTGTCTTGTTTGCTGTGAAAGACATCCAGACTGAACTCCCATGTAGTTGTTTTCCATCCTCAGGTGCACTTCTGCCTTCACCCAGTTATCAGCAGAAAAGAGCAAATGGGGATGTAGTGATCAGATTTCTAAGGCACAAAAGTTAAAGCTAAGTTTGAGATTGTGACAGCAAGCAACCATGAGCCTAGGAACTCAATTAGCCTGAAAGACAACTATCTCATTATCTTTCCTAAAATGATATAAATACATAAGAATATAAAAATTTAAAATAAACTCTCTCTCTATTGACTGTCTAGATGACTGAATTTCACTGCTCAATTTCTTTAAACACCCACTTTAGTATTTATTTATTCTAAGCGTGAAGCAGCTACGATAATTAGACTGTCAGATTTGGTAAGTTAATGAGGAGTCACTGGAGTGGAAGGTTTTGCATTTGTGAGATTGCTGAAGGAGAGAAGCTCCGTGCCTTCGCTCTATCTCTTTTTTCTTTTTCTTTTTTTCCCCCTCCACTGGGTGGGAAGGAGAGAGCTTGGCAGTGCGTAGATCCATTTGAATCCTTTTGATTAGCGGGTTGCATTCCCACCACTGTTCTACCAAATAATATTTTGCTGGTTGCTCCAAGAAAAAGAAAAAGAAAAAAGAAAAGAAACTGTAGATGAGATTTCTAGAGAAGGGTGCCTAGATTAAAGAAATCATTTTCCAAAAAAAAAATCAGAAGGAACAGAGCTGTGAGAAATAGGATCCTGAATTAGTTTATATTGTGGCTGATGTCGCAGGAGAGCATTTGGAAAGCAACGCAGCGAAGGAAAAGGACCATTTCACAGCTTTTTCTTTAACCTGATTTTCCTACAGGACAATCAGTGCTCACAGTTCCAGGAGTGAGACTGCAACCTGAAATCTGTGACTTGTTTGCTTCTTACCGAAAAGGCCGTCTCTCAGGATGTTTGAGCAAGTTTTGGTAGAAAGCAGGGATGATTGACTAATACTCGGGTAAGTGTGTAGCTGCCACTGTCAAAGCTGCTGCTGTCATCTTTAGCACACAAATTCCTTGTGTATTGAAGGTGGGAGAACAGAACTGATACCCAGGGCTGGATGACCACATCCCAGGCCGAGGACAACGTGGAAAATCTCCCATTCAGAGAGAATAGATCCGCGAGCCAATGGCCCCCACTGCACAGTGCTCAGTGGTATCATGGGAGGTTTGGATTTGTTTCGTCATACTCCCAAGTCTCAGACCAGTGCCCTTTCCTCTGATGCCTCCCCAGTCAAAATATTGCTTCATTTCCCCATTGCTTAAACCCACCAAATTGCTTTGTTTGCCTTTGTCCTTGCCGATTGAGTTCACATTTTATAGCTTACTTGTTTTGGTTTCACATGCCACGGAACCTGAGCAGAGCTAGGCAAAATTTCCTTAGCTCGTAACATCCTTGGCTTAATTAATCAGTATTTTAATATTACACACCTCAAAATAATGCTTCAGCGTCAACATTTTTCATCTCCTTTTTGTTGCTGAAGACCAAAAGATCACTTAAAATCACTGTTATTGAAAGAAATTACCAGAAAATACCCTTTTATTATATCCTGTCTCTTTGTTTACTTTGTCCATTTGTTAACAGCATGTGTCCAGTCAGAGTCACCGGCTGGGTCTGTGTTTGCAGGGCAGACCTGGAAACTGATCTTGAGGCCAAATTAGTTTGACTGTCTTATTGTGTGCCAAGCTAAGAGGCAACCTCGCTGTGATAGCAGGGCAAACCTCAGCTTCCCGTCTGCGCTTTCAAATGGATGTAGGTGGCACGTACCTGCTATAGGATCAGCTCCCAGCACTCAGTGCGTGGTCTCACAGCCTCTCACTACCCCATCTGTCCTCATCATGTAGACAACAGCAGGCAGCCAGGACAGCCTCAAGTCCTTTCGAGAAGGGCCTGACATTGCCAGCCCTGTGGCCAGATTGGGTTTTGGAGGCAGCCTGAATACGTTCCCTGCTCACCTGCTCAGCTAAGCGCAGACGGGGTGGCTGTTCCCTCTCTGTGATCAGAGAGGAACTAATCCTGCCAAAAAAGCTGGTTGTCAGTTCCACTAAGGCTTCTGGGACAACTCAGTTGAGGAGGGCACTCATGCTTCAGTGTTCAATGAACTTTGATTTGGTCAGTTTTAACTGATTTTGAGAGTACTGCACAAATGCATAATTTAAAACAGTGAAACCATGGAAATAGCAGGAGATGATACTCTTAAACACTTTCTTTTTCTTTTTAATATTAACCTGGCCTCAAAGTGATTGTGTCCCTTTGTTTAAGCTGCTCACAAAACATACTGAAGCTTAAATGTCAACTTATGTTTTCTTCTACTCTTCATTACAGGAAAACATTCTATAAATGATGATATTCATATTATTAATTATCTCTTTAAAAAAGGCATCTGGATTCAGACATGCAAGCAAGGTTATAAACGAAACAGTATTTTTTTTTTGTCATTTTAATAGGCTACCAATGGAAAGCAGGGGGTTCTGTATGTTTTTTCAAATCTAATCAGAGGTAGATAGGCATCTAAAGCACAACAGCCTCACGCTGGCACACGAGAGAATGGAATTTCCTGGGAACATAATGAAACTGGCCAGCCTTCCTTCATTGGCCAACCTGACTTAAGTTGCAAAAATAGACAAAACCAAAAAACTGAACATACCACGCTCAATCATGAATCCGTGGGCCCCGAGTGACACAGCAAGGGGGAAAACATCACCACAGTCTCCTCCTTGTTCTCCTTCTGGTTTCAGGAAGGGAAGAGATAGTGCCAAGCGTCTATTCCAGGGTGATATACACTCCATGCCAATACTCCATCCATTTACTACCCTATTTCGCCTCTTCCCCTCTACCTCCTGAGGAGTAACGTATGGATCATTGGAATCTGCTTCTGTTCTGCTGCTGCCTCTCAAAACGTGGATAAATAACACAGTGCCTCTTATATGTATGTGCTGCTGTACTAGCCAAGTGTAGTTGAATCTACAGGAAGATTAGAGCTTGTTTTAAACCAACTGTTAACAAGCACAGTAACTGAAGTCACTAGCCCTGCAGAACATTTGGAATTAGGATTTATTTTTCCTTTTGATTCAGGATTGAGGCCATCCATTTTTATCCTAACAGAATTCCTTTGCAACAGGGGCAGATTCTACCCTCAATTACAGCAAGGACCTTTGAAATAACTCTTGATATTGACAAAATGAAGCAAAATCTTTGGGAGTATAAAACAAGGGCAGAATTTGGTCGGGGGTGTGTGTGCGTGATATTTTTAAAAATCACCTTTCAGTAGAAGAGAATGAAATTGTGCAGATGTCCTGCCTTTTGTTTTTCAGAAAGCAATGTCAGAAAGATTGACTTGGCAACGAAGATGTAACAGCACAGTCTGGACACTGGACTTGCAGAATAAACTCAACCATGTGTCCCTTAATAGAGAGATCCCTGGACCAGAAGATCGATGTACAAACAGGACAGATGGGGACTGACAATTGAAAGAATGTAGAGGCTGATCCAAGGCTTACAGAGACCTGTCATTCCTGGGGTTTGCCTACAATCTCCTTCAACAAAAGAGCTCCTGAGGGAAGGAGGGGATTAGTCAAAAGTTGAGTGAAGTCTCCAGGGAAGATGGTTTCTTGGATAAAGTTGTCAACAAAAAGAATTGTTTAAGACTATTTGTTATAATTTCCTAGAGGGAGCTTCTGCCATTACTAACAGGATTACCAGCATACTGGTTCCACACCAGCAGAGCATTAGACATGTGCATTGCAGACTGGTTGCTTAGAGCTGAATTCAGGGGTCTTCTTATACTGGGTCCCAAATGTGTGCAGGTGTTGATGAGCAGAGGGGAGATGGCAAAGAAATAAGATGCAGACAAACATGGGCCATTTTTAGTCCAGCTGTTGCAGAGAGTCCTGGCTCATTAATGAGTTACCAGGGTGTTTTAATCTCCTTGATCTCAGCGCTGCTGACAGACTATGAGAAGGAAAGCTAATCTGAGGTGAGAGCTGATCAGGATACATGGGGAAATCAGGGAGCTCTTCCCAACTACAGTTACTGTGAAATTTCTCATTGAACTCTTCATTGGCTGGGAAAGCAAGTAACTTACTGTGTTCATGTACTAGTCTGCTTGGTTTCAGTTATCTGTAATACTTTTTCTCAGCTCTGGGACATCAGAAACCAGAAGCCTCGGTATAACCTCACAGTAGATCTGTGAAGAAAAGAAAGACAAAGATAAATCATTAAGGAGCAGGCATGCAAACCTTGAATACTTCTTATTCGTCTGAGTAGTGTCACTGGCATGACTGGGAGAACTTCTCTGACCAAGAATTATGCAGAGCATTGAGACATTGGAACAAAATCAGTTATGGAGCTATGGGGAAACACCAGAGTGGGTGGCAGCCATAGAAAGAGCTGGAAGGTGAGATTTTAGTGTAAGTGTACATCTTCAGGCTCACCCCAGTCCATTGTTTGCTAACCAAACACTGCAGATCTGGGCAGGAAGCAGCACAACTGTTTATGTTCCCCTTTGCCCTTGCTATAACTGCAGGAATGTATAGCTTAGCTGTGTAAAAGAGTGCACAGACTATCTGCAGGCACTGCTCAGTTAAGAGGACAAGAGGTATTCCTTATGTTATGCGACAATCCTTAAAAAAGGCAAGCTGTGTCCCAGAAGGCTTTCTACCTCTAGACCGCTTGGACCTAAATCTCCCAAACACCAGCCACTGTCAAACTGAGTGTGAATGCCTGACCTCCCTTTGCAACCCTGAACAGAAATTTGTCTCAATATTAGGACCTTCTGCCTTTCATTTGTTCTGCAATGAATCTGGAATAATATTACAGTGACCTCACAGCAGTATAAGCAAGATCAGAGCAGAGTATCCTATAGAGTTCTACTTAGGCGTGTATCTCTGTGTCAGCTTCCCATGCACAGGTTTACTTCTGCAGAGAAGGGCATTTGGAACTTTTTAGAAGGAAAATAATAGTTCTTAAGCACGTTGGCGCTGGCTGTTAAATTGCAAAAGCTTCTACGAACTGGTACAAACAAGAAACTTTTCTAAAGTGGATGGCTGTCTGCATAGGTAGAAGATAGCTCTCCACTTCTGAGTGATGGTGCATTGTCAAATGCATGTTCCGAGTATGATGCCCCAGTTAGGATAGGGGGGTTCTGCATTCTTTTTGCACTCTTAGAGATGGCTGGACTAAGAACAGTGAAGAAGCAGGATCTCTAATGCCTGCCATGGGATGGTTATGGCTGGATGTCTGCTCCTAATTGCGAGCCACTAAATGCTCAAGATATGTTAAATGAAAGGATTTGTTATGCCTGGGCAGTGAGGGATCTAATGATGGGAACTGAATCACTTTCCTCATGGTGTCTATCCAGAACATGAGTTGTAAATTTCTTCTGCCCTGGAGCAGCAGAGAACATGGCTTTGCTCTTTTACACAGCTGCTAACCCATAATGGCCAAAGCTCTTATGCTAAATTGCCAAAGGGCCAAATGATACTTTCTAGTTCTGTATCTGGAGGGGCAGAAAGCCAGGAGGACCCTGGCAAAGGGATGTGCTGCAACCCAGCACACTTCTGTTCATTAACTCAACATTGGAGGCCTGATGCCTTAAATATGCCAGATCAGAGACAAAAACTGCCCCAGAGCTACTCCTCTCCTAAACTAACATGATCACTATTTATATCAGGAGTACTGATGTCAGTAGATTTTCCACACCCTGGCCTACACAATCTCAGGGGCAACAGATCTCAGGGAAAATGGACGTAGTGGTGTAATGAGTCAGGAAGAGTAGGTAACAAGAAACACAATTCGTGTACCAAGTTAGTGCCACCCAAAAAAGTGGTCCTGCTTCTCCATTTCCCTTCCTGCTTCAAGCTTCACAGTCTCTCTTTTGCTCTCTGGCATTTTTCTAAGCCCTTGATGAGCTGATTTAACTCACTAAACAG